GCTTTGTTGTCCACACCGAGACTAAGTGGCGAGATGGAAAATCGCGATCCCACTGTATCGCGTCAGACCCCTCCTGGTCACAGCCCTGGATTACATTCGAAGGTGTTCATCTCGGTCGCCTTCCCTTCAACCCCAATTCTCAAAAGAAAGAGAAAACATCCTCAGGAAGCCGATATTCGTCGATTGTCTGGGACGAGCACTTGGAGTCGCCGCTTGTCACTAGCCAAGTGCTTGACGGAAACAAGAAGATGGCCGTGCAAGCCAGCCGCCTTCACCTGACAGACTGGATCAAAAGACTGTGCCATACCAACGGAGATTCCAGGGCGCTTATCGCTACTTCGGAAGCATCAAACTCTTGGATCGAAAATCTCCAAGAGCTGATCCCAAACGCAGGAAAGCGACCTTGCCTAGGAAAGGTCACTGTCGCTTCATGCGGCCCCAATGATCAGGCGGATGGCATCGCTCCAGCAGAACACAGTGTCCCAGGCACTCACCTGATGCCCCTCGCTACGCTCGACGAACTTCCATCTTCATCGCTCGCTCAGGCTAAATATGATTTGGTCGTGATCGATGAGCCCGGGCTGTGGGAGGACAAAATGACTCAAGTTATTCTCCCGTGCCTGACCACCGTCCTTGAACACGGTGGTTTAGCAGCGATGCGTGTGTCAGATAGCGATCTGGACTCAGCAGCGGAGAAGTTGCAGTCCTTTGATGGCCTCGAAATTCATAGCACGACCGAAGATCGCAAGTTTATTATCGCGCGCAGGACGCCAGTCTCATGGACAACAGACTCTGAAATCTATGTTTTGAGTCCAGCAGATAATTCCAACTCATTCCCTGTTTTCGATCACCTCGAGAAGATCTTTGCCACCCATAACGTTCGCCTGGTGCCTGTTGGACTGGAGCAGGTGGCTACATTGGCAGGAAAAACTGTGATTTCGTTGCTTGATTTGGCAGCTCCCTGGGTATCTGGCTGGACGGAAAATGATCTCGAACGTCTCAAAGAGCTGATCCGAGTTCAATACGTTCTTTGGGTGTCGCCTGCTTGGAGCCAAGGGGCTGTTGAAAATATTGGATGCGGCGCTATGGGCGGCCTTTTGCGAACACTTCGCAATGAGCAGTGGAACACTACCATCCCACACCTATTGGTGGATGTGGAGGATTTGGAAGACAAATTCGGACTGGCTTGTGGCATTCTACAAGTCATGCAGCTCACGACACAGGATAGTTCACGTCGGCCAGACTTGGAGTATCGTCTAGCAAACGGTCGGCTGCTAGTTCCACGAGTTCTCGAAACCCCGGCGGTGGATGAGGCCATGCACACTCTGATGAACGGCCCCAGCCCCGTACTGTCAGACCTAACACTTGATTCAAGACCCCTCGAGTTGAAGTTCCAGGACGCAGACAACGGACGCTGGGAGGAACAACAACTCTCTGAAGAGCAGCTTCGGCCAGACCAAACTGAGATCAAGGTTGAAATGGCCACTATCTTTGATCTACATGGTGACCAGGGGAAGACACCAGAGACGGCTCTTCCAATGTTCGAAATTGTTGGAAAGGTGACTCGTATCGGGTCTGATGTGCACGACTCGGCTGTTGGCGATAAAGTGTTAACGTTGGCATCGGCGAATTCGGGACTCTCGACAACAATGCGCGTCTTGGAAAGTGAAACTATCAGAATTCCTGCAAACACAGACCCAACTAAGGCGATATCAACTCCTCTCGCGTATCTAAACGCTTATCAAATTCTCACCCAAGTCGGTCGCCTCAGCTCAAGTTCCTCGGTGCTGTTGGTTGGGTCAATCAGTCAAACTCTCAAGGCCATGATAGATTATGCCCTTGCCATGAACATGCAAGTTCTCGTGGCAACTGATTCCCTAGATAGCACCGAGAGCCTTTGTTCTCGCTACCCGGTATTGGCGGATCGAATTCTGGGCGTTCACGGTAGCCTGGAAACGAGCGTGTCGAGGCTGACCAATGGATGTGGAGTTGACGCCAGCATTTGCTTCCTCGGCGGATATGCAGGGCGGAATGCTGCGAGGTGTCTGGTTCAAGGCGGACAGTACATTAACCTGTCTAGCGAGATGAAGTTGAGTACTCTTCCAGAGAGCTTCATCGACAGTGGCTGCACGTTCTCTTCGCCGCGACTGCAGAAAGCATTCTCAGAGAAGCCCGGCAATCTCCATGCTTCTCTTCGACATGTGATAGACTTCATGAAGCAGCATCGGATGTTGGATCGTGTGGAATCATATTCCATGTTCCCTATTTCTGATCTCCAAGGAGCTTTGAAACATTGCAAAGTGACCAACACCCGAGCTATCGTAGACCTTCAGGCTCCTGGGAGAGTCCCCATTGTGCTACCACTTCCAGATCTTACTGGTTTACCAGCGGAAAGCACGTATATACTAGCAGGTGGATTGGGCAATCTCGGCCTTGCGCTTGCCGATACCTTGGTGCAGTCCGGGGCCCGGCATTTAGTTTTCCTCGGAAGATCTGGCGGGACTCAACCTAGTCAGCAGCTAGCCCTTGATCAACTTCGCGGTCGCGGCTGCCGCATAGATGTGCTACGCTGTGACATCTCCCAACAGGGGGACATTGATCACCTGTCATACAAGATTCGCAGCAAAAACTGGACTGTCGCAGGCGTGATACAGTGTACAACAGTTCTAAAGGTGATTTATCCTCATTTCGGTTTTTCCATTAACACTATCTAATTCCTTTCATTTTCAGGACGCGATGTTTGAGAACATGACTTTTGATGACTGGACCCAATCCACACAGTCCAAGATCCGAGGGACACTGAACTTGCACCATCTGTTTTCGGAGAAGGAAGGCTTGGCTTTCTTTGTGGCATTGTCTTCTGTGGCAAGTGTCATTGGTAATATGGGACAGGCTAACTATTCTGCGGGCAATGGCTTCATTGATGCCCTCATGGAATGGCGACGCAGTCATGGTCTTCCAGGTCATTCTATCAACATCGGCCTCGTGCCAGATGCCAGTGGACTCAGTGACATTTCCGAAGATCAAGAGCAACGCCGCCGCCGATACAAACATCTTGAGGGCACAGAGATCATGACCCATGAGCTCCAGACCTTGCTCAGAGTGATCATTAACAGCAAACTTGCTCTTCCGTCTCAGATAGTCGCTGGCATGACTGACTCCCTGTCTCGCAACAATGGCTCTACACCCTGGGTTCTCGATCGAAAGTTTGATCACCGGCTTCGTCTCGCTGTTGAAGATACCAAGGATACTATTCAGACCAGCACCTTACTCAAGGAGTGTGATTCCGTTGACACTGCAACTGAGATTGTCCTTAACACTCTGAGTGAATATCTAGCGGATGCAATGGCTACTACCGCTGATGCTATCGACTCAGATCTACCATTATCCGCGTTGGGCGGTACGTCTTTCTGATAATATCCTCCTACTGCTATCTCTACTTAACTGACACTGGCCTCTAGTTGATTCCCTCAAAGCTACAGCTGTCCAAAACTGGGTCTCTCGCGAACTAGGGGCAGAACTGTCCTCTTTCGAGTTCCTTGGCTCGCAACCGACAAAGGCGTTGGCGAGGAAAATTGCTTCCACTAGTTCATTCGTCTCAGTGCCGAGCTGAAGAGCTGTCCGACAATCCATACTCAGTATGGATTAGTTTATGACTACCTTTTCCACAACCACCTTGTTTCTGTCTTTCTTTTTAGCGCATCTCATTTTTGGCTAGTTTCAATAGTTCAGTATATATGTTTTTTACTTACAATACGGTGTTTTGCGAACGAAATATACCGAATCTTCCAGATTGCTGCCAAGACTTGCTTTGTTGGGAGCCCGTGTTCCCGGTGGATCCCGTCATCAAACTCACATGATAATCCAGCCGTTTATCTTTATCCTTGGAGCGACTTGCATATCGCATGGCGGATAGCCCCGCTGTACAGATTGCTGGATCATACAGCATGCAATAGCAGTTCTGAGATACGCCATTACAATGTACTGAGGAGGACCAAGCACAATGAACAGCTTCTCGTCTATGGGTCCACGGATGGCTCCACTGAGGACCGCCTACAGTCTTGACACATCGGGAACTGGATCGACACTTTTCGATCGGGTTGATCAACAAAGAGACCGAGTTTGGGATCCCGCGGAGCGGGTTGGGGTGGGGACCTCTGTTGAGCACTCTCGAGACGACCTCCCCCTGAATGAAAACAAGGAACGTGGACTCCGTACGGAGTACGGAGTACCCATGGACACGTTGCCCTGTTAACAGACCTTTTTGCTGCACGGTCTCCCTTGCTGCTGCAGGGATGGTATAATATGTACTTTGTACATGCCATCATGAAGCAAGGTGGTGAACCTCGCTTGCCTCAAGTTCCACCGCCCATTCCGATTCTCTAAATGTAGATTTTGCCTTCTCTGGTCCCACTGATCTCAAATTTAGGTTCTGTGCCAGCTGAGAGCTAGCCAGCTTCAAGGAAAAACCCACCTCGATTACGGAGTATGTATATGCACTGTTGGTGTCCGGGTGGTATCGGGATCTACAAAGGTCGGCGTCTGTCCACTTACATCGACCGAGGTACTCCGAATTCTGTCGAAATTCAACATGACCCTAAATGGAAAGGCTTCGAAGTACAATATAGCCACAAACTGAGGGGTACTCCGTAGGTTGGATCTTGGGCTGGACCGTCACGTTCCCACCTGGTCAAAGCAAGGCAAGCCACTATCGACATCCTACTCCGTACGGAGTACTTTGTTCTCCATATGTGTACTCCGTACAACATAGGGTATCTCCACACCGTGGGGCCTTCTCATGGATCCATTCCTCTGTTCTTTTGCAAGGCCGGGAACTGGAGGATTCCGCCAGTGAGTTTCCTAGGAAAATCCTCTAGTTATCGCGCTAAAATGTGTAAGGCGTCTTTTAGTCTTCCCCATCAAAAAAAAAATCGAAATTAAACATCCTGGTCTCCAATTCTCTTCTCCCTTCTCCCTCTTCCGTCTTTTTACTTCCAGCTATGGCGGATGCTGAAAAGAACGATCTATGCATGCCGACACCCCCGGCAAAGGCCGTTGTCGTAGATCATGACATGGCCATTAGCCCGGATCCTGAACAGACCATTGTCGTAGACCATGACATGGCCATTGCCCCAGATTCTGAACAGATCATTATCATAGATGATGACTTGGCCATTGACCCGGATCTTGAAAAGGTCACTGACACCAACGACGCTTCCAAGGAGATCCCATCCAATGGTCATGAGTCTCCCGATGTGACTGACCTGGAGGCTCAGGCCACAGAGCCCCGACGGAAGCGGTTTGCGCACTTCAGATATGTCATGTTTACTGTGTATCGACGGCTCTTCACTGTCGTATTTTGCGCAAATCTCGCCGTTTTTCTCTACGTGATGATCTCTGATCGGCGGCTTCTAGCACTCGTGAATGCGACAGCTGTAAATTTGGTGGCGTGCGGTCTCGCTCGACACCCGATGATGGTCAATGCCATCTATAGAGCGGTATGCTCGATTCCGCGAAGTGCACCCCTGTCTTTGCGCCGCAGGTGCGCTAAGGCAGCCCACTACGGTGGTGTCCACAGTGGCTGTGGGACCGCATCTTTGGTGTGGTATATTGGATTTGTTGCCATGGTCTCACAGATCTATTGGACAAACTCTCCCATCAGCACAGTAACAGATTCCGGTTTCTCAGCGGCGCCGATCGCCGTCGCCTATGTCATCCTTGTGCTACTCTTCGTGATGATAGTCGTTGCATACCCAACCTTCCGGAGGAGAATGCATGATCACTTTGAGCTCACCCACCGATTCACCTCATGGCTGATTCTGGCCCTTTTCGTGGCTCTAGTCATGATATTTGCTCATGAAGTGGGCAGAGCAGAGAACCACTCTCTTGGCCATGCCCTCGTCACTCTTCCTGCGTTTTGGCTGTTAATCGTGGCTATCCTCGCCGTGGCCCATCCATGGCTACTATTGCGGAGGGTTCCGGTAAAGGCCGAGCCGCTCTCTAATCATGCCGTACGACTATCCTTCGATTTCACCCCAATCAGCTTCGCAAAAGGTGTCCAAGTGTCAAAGCATCCTCTGCGCGACTGGCACAGCTTCGCCGGCTTCCCAGACCCCATTCCAGCTGATGTGAAGCCAGTCGTCAAGAACACATCTGGCAAGAAGCCATTTGTCAAGGGGCACGGGCATAAGAGGAGCTGGTCTATCGTGGTGTCCAAAGCAGGAGATTGGACGGCCGATACCATCCGTGAACCGCCAACCCACCTCTGGAAGCGCGGGTCGCTGATGCGTGGCGTCGGATACGGTCTACGTGTTTTTGATCGCATTATCATAGTGACTACTGGGTCCGGGATAGGACCCTGTCTCGGATTCCTAGGCGACAAAAACCGGCCCTTGATCAAGGTCATTTGGCAAACACGTAACCCGCTCAAGACTTATGGCCAGGATGTTATTGATCTCGTCCATAAGATGGGTCCTGACCCGATTATCTTCGATACCAGTCGTGATGGCCGTGTTGACATGCTCCCCGTCGTGCGACAGCAAGTGAAGGAATTCAAAGCGGAGGCAGTGTTTGTGATCAGCAACCCCAAGATGACTCAAGATATCGTTTACGAGTTTGAATCACAAGGGATTCCAGCCTACGGGCCAATCTTCGATTCATGATTCATGAAAAGTGATGTATTTTACATTTCTGTTTTATTCTGAGCCAGCTATGACATATGATATGATATGATATGATATACATTTCGGTCTTTAATTTTAGCTATTTATGAGATCTTCGTCTCTTTGTTTATCCAGAGTCAAGTCCATCAATGAAAAGGTTCCATAGAATCTATTGAATCTTAACCCGTGTAGGTGGAATCTCGTGCGATGTCTTGCCATCACTCTTTCGTATCCAAACCACCAATAGATAGGAAGAATCATCCTGGTCAGGTGGTTGATATTGAGCAAAGCCTTCCCTCCGGGCGTTGTTTGACAGGAAGGTCTACAAGCGGGAGAGAGATTCATACGCAACTCGTCTATCTCAAGATACACTATGATATTTGGAGGTCTGATGACATTGGCGCCCTTGGCTTCGATTGTGAAGCAAAAAAAGACTATTTGATCCATGCTTGAGATGACTCGCACGTAGCCTTGTAAGCTGTGCGGTCTGCACGTCCCGGTTGAGTTTCTTCAAGTTGATGCTGACCATGACGTCGAGCAAAGGGACCATCTGTGGCAGGAAAGCTAGGAAGGTGAATCAAGGTCTTATTGCATGAATCAGCGTGAGCTGGTTTTCATGGCGTCTGAGTTTCTTATCCATGGTAGCGAGCTTTTTCTTCCGCTCAGCCTCGTCCGTCGCGTGCTCCTTGTTCGTTCGAAACATACTTCTCGTTGCGGCTGTACTGGCATGCCCTTTCTATCACGGATATATAGTTCCTAACCCGCTTACGAGTCTCCTGCAACGCCAGTTCTCGTTCTGAGCACATCAGGTGACGAGCTCTTCTCCAAAAAGTCTGGGCGGAGGTCCGCGACTGTAGGAGAGCTCATAACGACCCTGGCAGAAGCCATATTCATGATCGTAGTCGCAATCTTTGGCATGAGGTTGAAGTGCGAGACAGTGTTGGGATAGAAGAGCGCGAGCGGTTGAGTCTCCACTTCAGAATCACAACAGCGCGAATTTCGCTGTCGCCGCCGATCAGTGTAGGAGCTTGGCTGGCTGATAAGGAACTCGAAATCGAGTATGTGAGGGACGGGAGGGAGAGGAGGTTCATCATCCATCAAGTCCACGATTCACTCCATCCGGACTCTTATCGCAAAAGATGGAAGAAGATCGTAATTCGAACTTCCCCTTTTTGAAGGCATTTTCCCTCTTCGCATTTGTTCGCCTCCATGTGCTCGTCCTCGTTGTGTTACCCTTGCTTGTTTTTGCATCACGTCGGCACCGGATTTTAACGACAGCTCTATGTCTCGAATATTGACGACTGGACCTTTTGAGACCGCTAGACGGAGCGGTGTAATTCCATAAAGATCAGCTGCGTTGACATCCGCTTCGTGGGCGAGATAAATCCCAGTGAGAGATTCGTTCTCTATGTCCTACTTGGGCTTTCCGCAATTTTGAATGCCTCGGTGCCGCTTCAGTGGTAGGAACATCGAGTAGCAGAGCAGAGCCCTGTCACCCTCCGTCAATTCCCTGATCATATATTGTATCTCGCGCTTGTGTTTAATATAAGCTAGGTGAATACTGGTTCACTCCCGGTCGATATGTCGTAGAATTCCAAAGTCTGGACTGGCTCATATTGGGCTCTAGCCGTGCGGGTCAGCTGCTCGTTGGTTGACCAGCGCGGTGTCGTCAGGGTCCATTCTGATTATTGGAGCGGGGAGGTGAAACCCCCTTCTCTGGCACCGCAGGTAGATGGACGCCCGGTGGTAGTACCTTTTTCGTTGAGCATCTGATCGGCCGAGGGTAACATTTCTTTCTCCTAACCCACACACAGTTGTCATCCCCCGGGCAAAACCAAGGAGAAATTGCGAGAGGGCAGACGTAAAGATGTAAAGAGGTAAAAGCAAAATAATATATCAGTACTAGAACCAGACTGAAGCCATCATGACATGGGAGTCAGGGCAAAGTTGAATTCTGTACTCCGTATAGGGTAGGGGGTAACCTTGAACACGTTGCCATATTAGGCTTAGTACGGTTCAATGCTATAACGTATTTCACTACCGAGTGACGCAGTCCGATACACATAGAAAATGGGATAAATTACAACTTGATATCTCAACAACGGTGGTCTATTGGGGCGTTTCCTTGTAGGCTAATGGTTTTTAGGTAATATCTAGCCTTACTATAGAGTCTAGAGAATTTTTATAACTTGGTGATGAGGATATGTATATTTCTGGCTTAGAGCGATGTAATTTTCGATGCCATGATATTGCAACTTTTTGATTGCCTTGAAATTGATATATATCATTTAAAATACTTATCAACAGCTATCGAGTAAATATGAAATCAAACAAGGACGTTGTTGTTGACATACAAGGTTGCAGTTTATCGCATTTACTATGTATATCGGACTGCGTCACTCGGTAGTGAAATACGTTATGGTCAAGTGATCCGAATGGCGCCTGATGGATCAGGCAATAATCATGTGATGCTTGCCTTGTTTGCCAGGAAGAGCCTCTCCTTTCCTCCTAATTCAAGTGAGTAGAGGCAATATTCGACTTTAAAGGTGAAGGGAAAAAGAATGGTGTCACTGGCGAACAGAAGTCGAGAAGTCGACTAACTACTTTTGACAGCGACTGCCTAATATAAGGCATTGCGGCTCAACTAACGTATTTCACAAGCGAGCCGCCATCTCCAAAACACATAGTAAATGCGATAGATTACAATTTGGGATCTCAACAACTTTGGTCTATAAGCACCTTACCTTGTAGCCTAATGACCTTTAGATGAATATCTAGCCTCTTTGGAGAGTTTAGGAAACGTATGTCTCTTATTTATCGAGATATATATATTTCTAGCTTCTAGCAATGTAATTTTCCGTAAGTTTTGAAATGAGGGGAATATAGTGTTTTCATTTCTTGAAAGTGATATATATTGTTACTAAGCCTTATCAATAGCTATCCATAAGCAATGAAACAAAATAATAACGTGGTTGTTGAGATATAAATATAGAAAATGTCGCATTTACTATGTGTTTTGGAGATGGCGGCTCGCTTGTGGTGGCGGCTCGCTTGTGAAATACGTTAACTATGAAACATTTCTAGGCACCCACGAGGCTACCCGGTACTTTTCCGAATCAGAACAGACTCATCACATACTCTGCTTTTTTGGCGAATGAAGTGTTATCTCAGGCGTTAGCGGGGCACACTGGGGGCGAAAGCTGAACCATTAGATCAAGCGGGGTTTCTTTGGCTTGTGCCCTGTGAGATATATAAATCGAGAAGTATGTCCTTTTATCTGGCTCATACCTCTACGCAGAACATGCATCCTAGTCGAGCAAAAAAGCGTCATGTCATGATGGAAACCCTCCAGGACCTTGTCCCATCTCTACCTGCAGCCCCATTGACATCCCCCTTATTTACTGTCTTCCCCGCCGAGATCCGCAATCGAATTTATACGCTTGCCCTTGAGTCCGAGGATACTCTCACAGGCGACAGTTCTCGCTCCCTCTATAAGCAAAACGCTTTCTACTACCGGCCCGGGTACAAGCAGCCTAAGCGCATCCAGACTGCCCTCCTCCAGACATGCCAGCAAATCTACGCCGAGGCGTCCCTCCTCCCGCCGGCAGTAAATGAGCATACTTTCTGGTTCTATCGGTCTCCGCCGCATGTCAATGATGCCTCCCTCGCCGCTGAATTATTTTCGCAAGATGACCCCGAAACAGCGGGCTCAGGTACAGCATTTACACTTGTTCACCCAGCAGTATTTCCTAGAGGATAGTCTTTGGTCCCAGATATGGGACGGTCTTAAGATAGGCGACGACGGGCGCAGTCTGCGAGGGGAGTGCAGAATCGCACCGAAGAAGATGACCATCACGTTTCGCCATACAGATTGGTGGTTCTGGGAGAATAATGACCCCCTGGGCATCGATCCGTTCCGACCCGGGAGAACCCAGGCAGCCGATATGGGCAAGGCCGTTTCTCCACACGCTGCAGCTCGGTCATGGGGAAACCAATTTGGCTCTCTCCCCTGTCTTGAGGAACTGGTAATCGAGTTTGAAACGATCATGCGGAAGAGGGACCAGCTAGATGCCATCATACAACAGGCTCTCGAGTGGAAGTTTCCCCTGCAGGCTGACAATGGCTTGTATCTGGTCGCTGGCCCCACGTCAAAGAGGGCATATACTTGGGTTGGGGCGAAAGAGGCGGAGCTGAAAAGGCAGAGGCCTGCATGGCCAGTTGATACTGAGGCCGGGTCGGAATCTCAATCTGGCCAGGAACAGCAGCCGGTTCCTGAGGCCCCGGCTTTGGTGCCATTTGATCCTCGGTCCGACAGGGGCACCAATAAAGACGTCAATCTTGGAAATTCTCAATTCGACGCAAATACGGAGAAGTTCTATGTTGTCTTCTTGACTTGGAGGAAGCAGCGAGTGCAAGAGTAGGCCATTACCTCGGCCTCGGCATCCATTGTCCAGATCTTATATTAACAGCAGCTGTCGGTATATTTATTTTGCAATCAGACTGGATTTCTTTTGTCTTTACCTTGGGGCGGATCTCGATTTGGTTCCTGCAATTCTGACATGGAAAATACGAGCCATACAGCCTATGACGTTTTGCCTATATATCTTGTTCTTTGGATCTATCAAGGTGAAGGTTCGCAAAGTCGACTGGGACTTTGGGTGTCTATCTGATCAACTAGGGTCACAATATATTTTGAAGGTATCCTACGAATCGCGAGACAGTACAAATCTACTATATTTGATCAAGTCAATAAAAGGAAAGCTGCTGCATTGCTAAGGTTATACAAAATGATGTCTTAAGTACCCCTCACACCGAATGGTGTGTGATCCGGCCCTGGAGACCATTCAAATTAGTGCATTCATTCTATTGGACCTCTACGAAGCATTATGTATAAACTCTTCACTGAAGTACTGCAGTTTCCCAACTGAATGAAGCTCAAAACTTTGTAATTAAAAGATACGAATAAAAGAATCTATCTAGCAAGTAGAAGAAGCTACCTCATCTATAAAATCCTGGAATCGACCTGATTCACCAACTGCCCAACAGTGTCGATCATCTCATTCAACAAAGACACAGCAAAGTCCGACCACGACTCGACAGTGACAATTTCGATGCACATAGTATCCCCCTTCGGGAATGCCTGCACCTTGATCTCCCGCAATGGCTCGAAATGCGGGTAGATGGTCTGCATACGACTGCTGGCCGCCATGAAAGACAGATCCTCAACATGCTCAACGTCCTGGTGCACGACCGAATCAAACCAGTCAACAGTCTCCGGCCAGTCGGTGCAGTCCTTGACAATTTCCTTAAGACCGATTCCTTCGAACTGCGCGCTCTCAAGATGTTGTCGCTGGACAAACTGCAAAAGATCCATGGCACTCCATTTATCCCCAAACTTCACCCGCACCGGTACATACTGCCACGAAGGTCCAACAATCGCGTCGGCGTTCGGGAGGTCAATGTTGCGGCCACTCACCACCTCGCCGAAAGTGACATCATCAAGGGAGAGGCGTCGCGCAAGGCACAGCGCCCAAGCCGCCGTAGGGAGGGTTGCGACTGTGATTTCCCGCGGTCGCGCAGCGATATTCACATCCTTGGAGATGGCGAAGTGAGCAGCAGATACCACAGGGATATCGGGCTGGATCCGTGTCATAGATGACCCTTGAAGGAGATCACGCCAGTACGGAATGCTGACTGGCAGATTAGTGCGAGTTACATGGCCGACGTATGACGAGAATGGCAAACTCTTCGGCACTGTTCGTCCCTCATACAATGCCGATAGCTGCTGTAGCAAAATCGGCAGACAGATCTCATCGTATTGGGCATGGGAGATGCGCATGATCAGGCTGCTGGGCCCGTCAACATGCCGAACGAAGAGGAACTTCAAAAAGTGTGATCCGAGAGGAATGCGTGACTGAACATCGACATCGCAGAGTTTCTGGCTGAATGCTTCCACATCACTTTCAATCTCATATTCGACTATCTGGCAGGGAAGGTCATCGACAACCACTCCCAATGAGACCCCCTCATGCTCCACGAACACAGTTCGAAGGATCTCATTCCGAGACACAAGTTCCTGGCAACTCTGGAACAGCTTAGTGCGATCCACCACGGTATCCATGTAGAAAAGTTCGTATCGCATAGAATACCGAGGCAGTTGGACAGTTCCTTGGACTGCTATTTCCTGAAGCGGGCGACTTGGATAGGCATCCACGATCTTCAACTCAGGCTGAACAAGCAATGGGGTCATCTTGTTGATGAACGCATCTACATCGGTCACATTGAGTGAGCTGAATGGTGCGTAATCCTGAGAAGTCGCGGCTGCTGGCTGAGCCTCCACTGCGTGTTCGGCCATGTCAAACAGAGACCGGTGATCGAAGATCGTGGTTACAGTTAGCTGAAGGCCATCCGTACGAGCCTCCGAGACCAACTTCATAGCACGAATGGAGTCGCCTCCCAAATCGAAGAAGCTGTCATCCAAAAGGATATCCTCGCAAGGAATATCCAAGACCTGGCTCCAGACCCGTTGGAGCTTTTGCTGCGTGACCGTGGTTATGGCTGCACCACCGTTGAGCTTTCTATTCCGGGTTTTGAGTTGACCGATCTGCGCGTCCTTTGCGCGAATAATAATAACGGAGCCATCACTGGTATATTTTGCCAGTTGGTTTGTCGTGTACAGCTTCGTTGGATGCTTGCACCAGGTTGGATTGGCCACTGGACTGCCGGAAGCCCGTTCACTTTCGCTTTCAACAAGCAGCTCACCAACACCACCAGGTGGTACAAGACACTCATGGTGATTTGGGTTAACGATCCAAGTAGATGTGACAGCCGAGTAAAGCTCCTCAGTAGGGAGGCTCGCCGGACCAATCTTGGACAGACGGCATTGTTCTGTAACATCCGTCTCAATCATGGAATCATAGATGTGCTGGATTCGCTGGGTTGGTTCCTCAAGAATCTGCTGCACCAGGCGATCAAATTGTTTAAGCGCTTGCTCCATCTGCGGGACATCGATGGTCTTCGAATCGAAGCTGGCCATGACAAGGAAGCCCTTTGTATCAACGGTGAAGACGAGCATGAGGGCGTATGAATTGAATTTTAACGCTTCACGGGCGGCTTCTGCCTCGCTGGTTGGAACAAATGCGGTGGCTGGCTCTTCTTTCGAAGAGGCCTCGACTTCCTCGATGGTCGGATGAATTACAATGCCTGTGCGCAATTCACACGCCTCTCGAGCATCGGCGTTCAAACGTCGAATGTGCTGCAGACCCATGTGTTCGTGAGGAATGCGATCGACCGTTTGATCATGGATCTGCTGAAGGTAGCTTGATGCGCGAGCCTTGCGATCGATGCAAACCCGAACCGGAACAGTTGTGATCATCGGGCCCTCGATCTCCTCCACAGCTGCCACTGGAGCTGTACGGCCGGTCATAGTCTCTCCAAACACGATGTCATCAGAGGACGTGTAATGCGCGGCTAAAAGACCCCAAGCACCTCGAATAGCGGTTGCAATGCTCGTCGTGGAGCTCGATGAAGCCCGGGGCAGCTGGACGTAATGTTCTAGTAGAGAATCGGCACGCGCTTGATACCCAGTGTATGGAATGGGAGGGAATTGTAGCGATGTAGCGCCCTCGAGTTGAGTTTCCCAATATTTCTCCGTGGAGGCTCGGTCGGTTTCACTAAGCCACTTGATGAAGTTCTTGAACGGTGCTGGGTTGCCGATACTCTCACCGCGATAGGCGCGATTCACTCGGTCAACTACCAAAGGCATTGACCAGCCATCGTAAAGTGCATGGTGAATGCTCAGGACGATGTAGGTTCTGCTGGTCGGCTCATCGTCCACAATAGCGAAACGAGCAAGCTCAGTTCCCAGAGACATGCCCTTGAGTGTATCGCTACTCAGATACTCTGCCAGGTTGGAGCTGTTCAGCCATGGAGTGTTGGTCTGTACGACGATCTGCATCAAACCCCGGCGTGGAACTTGGGCAATTCTTGTTCGTAGAATTGCACATTCTGCTGAGACACGCTCAAAAGCAGATTGTAGTCGCTTGGCGGTTTGAATATCCTGGAGCTCAATGACTCTCTGCGCGACATAGGCATCTGTATACTTGGCGGAGAGGGCCATAAGTGCTTCTTGGAGAGGTGTGCAGGGGTACACATCAGCCACCTCGCTAGGACTCAAGTTGCACAACGAAGCCGCTTCGACACGTGCAGCGTCGGCCTCCCAGCTTGCTGGGAGCAGCGAAAATGGGGGAACATCCAGTGGACATTTGTTCTCGGCCTCTTTCACTTTGAGGGCCAGGTTCTCAAGAACGGGTGATTGGAAAATATCAGTGACTTGAATAGCAAGGGACTGCTCTCGTGCGGCAGCTACCAACCTCATCGCTTTCAACGAGTCACCCCCGAGGCTGAAGAAGTGGTCATTGACCCCGATCTCTGTCTCATCTCCAAATAGCTTCAACCATAGGCCGTGAAGCCTGCGCTCCATCTCTGTCCGAGGTGCTATTTTGACAACGGTGGACAATCTAAACTCTGCAATATGTCGCCTTGTCAAGTCATTCCCGAGAGCCCGCAGCTGCTTCCGGTCTGTCTTAAGCGATACCAGAAGTGGCATCTGATTGAGTGGTATATATGCGGTGGGGATCATATACCGGGGCAGATTTGTCGCAAGAACATCGTCAATACCAGCGATCAGCTCTTGGAATGGACTCGAAAATGAGGTAATCTCGCTGATCGTGCCCGTCTTTTCACTCTTTTCCTCCGCCACAAATACAATCAGGGTGGCATCGGCTTTCTTTCCTCCAGGGAAGATCACTTCCGCTGCAACGCTTGCTCCAGCGGGGAAATAATTCCGGACGTGGTGCTCGATTTCGCCCAGTTCCACGCGCTGACCGCGTAGCTTCACCTGTTGATCGGCACGGCCGATGAAAACAACACTGCCTGAGGCATCGGGATCATATCTTACCAGGTCACCTGTCTTGTAAAGACGGCCCTTGCGACCTGGTACATCTCCCCGACCCTCAACCAGCCATGCTGGGTCCTCGATGAAAACCTCGGCGGTTTTCTCTGGATTATTGAGATATCCATCGCCGACCACGGGGCCTTCGATAAGAAGTTCTCCCACAGTGCCGATAGGCATCAATCGGTCATGATTGGATGGATCCACCACCCATGTCGTGGCTCCGACTCCTTGTCCGATGCTAGTGTACGATCGACCAGGAGGGATGTCATTATTGATTGTGCATCCAACAGTGCACTCCGATGGGCCATATGCGATTACGATTTTCGTCTTCTGGCCCCATTCGGCCGCATCGCTAGCAGATATTGCCTCACCACCAAGGCCGATGACCTCCAGCGAAGGCATGATATCAGGTGCCAAGACACGTGCGACCGACGGTGTCATGTGTGCCATGTTCACATTCAATTTACGAATGGCGCCACTGAGGTCGTTGACGCGCTGGTCTTCTGAGGGCACACAGATGCAGCCTCCGTTGGCCAGAGTGCACAACATGCAGTCGACGCTGACGTCGAATGCATACGAGGGGAAGTCAAGCACTCGTGAGTGTTCCTTGTATCCGACAGCTGCGGCACGAGGTAGTGCACCGCTAGTATAGTTAGAGTGAGAGATGACCACACCCTTTGGCTTGCCAGTACTTCCCGAAGTGAACTGGATGTAAAGGGTTGACGACGTTGGGACCACGGGTAGGTCCACAGAGAGTGATTTGAAATTGGCCTCGTCGTTCAGCGGGCCAACAATAACTTGCTTTCCTCCCGGGACAATGCGCGCACCTAGTGCCGCCTGCGACTCCGAGGTCAAGATAAAACCAGCCTTAACCTCGCTGGCGATCGTGCTCAGTCGTCCCTCCGGCTGGCTGGGGTCCATGAGAACCAATGCGCCGCCGGCTTTCATCACTGCTAGGACACCAACAATTGTCCACATGGACTTTTCAAAGCAGAGCGGAACAGCCTTGCCAATTTGCAGTCCCAGGTCAACAAGGTGTCTAGCCAGGTTTGTTGAGCGCTCTTCTAGCTGTCTATAGGTCATCTCTCCATCCCAAGACACGACTGCGGGACGATCGAGTTGACTTTGAGCTTTTTCACTGATTATATCTTGGATGCATTGGTCGATAGTTGGGGGCATTGGCCCGTTCCACTTCCATAATTGTGAGAGCTCTTGCAGTCCAATCCGGACGGCCTCGGCAACAGATTGATCGAGGTTACTAGTGATAGAAAGGATGACGTCGGCGAGGATATGAGGTATGATGGCTTCGACGGGCTGTGTGGCTGTCGGGGACCGAGGAGTTCCGCGAACATACACAACACCATGCGCGAGCTTTGCTTCCAGAGCAAACGTCCACTGATTGAGTTAATAACTGATGCTAGCCATGAGTTTGGACCTACTTACTTCATTCTCAACGTAGGCATTTCGACACAAGAGTGTGTCCGAAAATTCCCCGTCAAATTGACCCCGCCTTCGGATTGCTTCCAAAGCAGATCTCAGCGAGCTGCCTTCCCCCTCAATCACATCTGAGATGAGACATCCCTGGAGACTGCCCTCTTTCACCCAGGAAAAGCCTCTATCCTCACTGTGCACTGTCCCCCGAAAGAGAAGGAGGACCCAAGCCAGAGCAATAATTTCCTCGTGTTTTATATCTGGAAGTGTTGGCAGGGTCGTACAGTCGGACCAGTCATCATGTGGCTTCGTTGACTCTTCGCCCACCCAAGGGGATGCACTGGGCTCAACGTATTCACCCATATTCTTGGAAAATGTAGTATTAAGGAGAGTGTCTCTAGGGCTTTTTCGGGGACTATGAATCAACGATCTGATTAAAATTATCTGATGCGGATCTTCAGTGATGGACTTGGCATCTTGCAAGTGCCACAACGGGCAGAAACAATCCGAGCAGATGCCGAGACTTTATTGTCCATATTGCAATGGAGCCATCGTATACTTGAACCAATACGTTGTATGCCAGAGTGGGGGAAGAGTACATGTATGGTTACAGCGGGCATTACCATACATACCAGGCCATACCATACACAGGGACCACGAGCCGCCAAGATCCGCCAAGATCTAACGCTACCTTGGAAGCACTGCCCCTGGACCCACCTTGGCAGTAAAAAGGGTATTGTAGAGCGCCGATCAGAGCCCTTGTAGTCATATTCGAAATTTTTCGAAAGTTGTTTGGTGGAATACTGTCACCATTATCTGATCGTCTTCTTCAACTTTCCCCTTTTCGGAGATTCGCACGTTTCCACCTGGAAAGATTGATTAGATTGGCTGCGACATCGGATATATCCACCGATTTGATTACATTGGTTTGTTTTTTCCAAACTCACCTTGAAGACTCTCGTCTCAAACATGCATGGGGGCCCGGATTGACTCCCCCTGTTGTTACTAGTTTGTGACAAGCAGCGTACTTACACGGATGGTCTTTGGTAGCAGCCAAGGTCTCAGTTTCCTGAATCCGATGCCTAGTGGACCGCTGCACGGTGGGCACGGAGAAGGATGATCAATTCCCTACACCGAGCCGGAGTATACCGAGGATAAGGTGGTCAATGCCGACATAGCATATCTGGTTACTTATTCCCTCATGCTCCTGTTCTAAGTTGGTAGCATCATCATTATCATCATGTCTTCGAGTACCCTCCCCCTGGTGCGGCTACCGGAGCCGTACAAGACAACTTATGAATTGCACGTCGTATCCACCGAGCGTAATCTCCGCAAGTTTCAGCTGCTGAGAGCTCCTCGTGGGGATGAAGGCATACCACCCCCAAAGCCATTGGACCATGCATCCTTGAAGTTCACAGATTTGGCCCAACCCGATTCTTCTTCCACACCAGAGGAGGGAAACAACTCACCCTGGGCACGCGCACAGAGAAGTCCAGTTACCTATATTACATGGGAAGGCTCAGAAACGCCCTCGGTGGGCCAGATCTGGAATGTGGTCTATGCCATTGAGACTTTGCGCAGCGAGTTCGAGATATTCCGTGGTGTACTATCTGGTACTGGGAGTGATATACTTGCGCGCGAGCTACAAGGCGTGGGATTGGCCATCGCGCATCCCGAGCCATCTGCTCCGCCAGGAAACCCCATCCCAACCACCACTAACCACCTCGGACAGCTGGTATTTTCCCGCAGTAGCTTCTGGCAAGGAGCCGGCTCACCATTTGGTACCCGTCCAGCGTGGGTGTCTGACCCGGGGATTTACAGCGATATGCGCAAGCCGTTGAGCGAATACCCTACCCGACCACGCCAACACACCGTCACCACTGGTTTCCCGGAGCGTCGAGTACACGCCCTTCACCCGGTACGGCCACCGAAACCGTCCCCCGGCTCTCGCATCTACAGTCGCTACATTCCACACTTGAACGAGTTTTTCTCAGTCTATGCGCTTGACTACACAAACGAGGAACACCTGAGGCTGTTCAATAAGTGGCAGAATGACCCTCGAGTGGCTCAGGGGTGGAACGAAACTGGAACTTTGGACGAGCATCGTGAATACTTGCGCAAAATCCAGGAGGATCCGCACCAGATCGCTGTGCTAGCCAAGTTCAATGACACTTTCTTTTCCTATCATGAGATATATTGGGCGAAGGTATGGTTTCTATTTCTTCCCGGCCACCTGACCATGGCTAATTTAAATTACAGGAGGACCATCTTGGTGCGTACTACGATGCTGGCGACTGGGATAGGGGTCGCCATTCGCTCGTCGGCGATGAGCGATTCCGGGGTCCGCACCGCACAATTGCGTGGTGGTCTGGTTTGATGCATTACATCTTCCTGGATGATCCGCGTACGGAGTTTGTGACTGGAGAGCCAAAATACTCGAATCTGGCTCCCTTGACCTACGACCACGCTACGGGCATGAACCTGGCCAAGCTGGTCGATCTGCCACATAAACGGTCTGCACTCATCCTTGGTAGCAGGGAGAAGTTTTTCCATGTGGCACCGTTACGATTTGACGGGTCGGACACTCTCGATCGCAATCCATTCCGCTCATTGAAGTTGTAATAGTTACCAAATATGCATATGTTATGAACTAGAGAAACCTCGGTGTGTATTTGTACATATCCGCGGGAAACAGCAAAAGAAAATTTCTTCACGAGGACCCAGCGTAATCTAATCAGATTAGGGATGTGCCCGCTATTTTGAGTTTGGTAGTGGTATTGACCCCAACTTACCATAGAAGGTAAAGATCCGCAATAACCGAGCAGTCTCCGAGGTGCACGAGCACACGTCGGAACAGAACGCATCCAGATCATCGTCGGAAATTGGTAAATGTGTTCGGATGGAGCGTGTATGTCATTCTCGGCCCACCAAGCCCAGCCCACCCCAAAGGCCCCCCAAGACCAAAACGAAAAGAAAACCATCAAATACGTACTCTTGGCTCTTGGCCGTTTTATTTACGAGTCGATCTGATAAGGGATCAAATCTTACGTATTGTCCGACGTCGGCTTTTCACTGTAAAATTCTTGGGTAATCAGGTCATAGGAGGAGTGGAGCTCTTAGATTTCTGCCACAGCATTTAGCTTTGGGATAAAATAACAAATGATCTTCCTCAATGTTCTCACCTGTTCACGCCCATAGATAATTTTAACTATGGCAGGAGATGCACCAGCGCAGAAGCGCAGCGTATGTCACTCCTCGATCCTTAGGATTCTCAAGCTAATTCGTCAAAGTGGAGGGATAGAGCTGTCTTCTTCCGCCTGTTCGTCTATGGCGAGCCTAGCAGATCAGATATCGCACTCCTTGTGCTCGGCCTGGTCTCCGCCGTTGCCTCGGGAATTCCTTTTCCAATCATGTCAATTGTTTTTGGTCAATTGGTAGATGAGATGAACTCAACGACCTGCAACGTCAACGACACCAATGGCGACTCATACCAAGCTGGTATCAATGATAAAGTCTTGATGATTGTCTACATCGGCATCGCCTACCTCTTTTTGATCTATATTTATGTTTTTAGTTGGAATCTGACTGGCGAGAGATTGGCTCAACGTCTGCGCGAGAAATATTTCAAAGCCCTTCTCCGCCAGGATGTGGCTTTCTTCGACAACCTCCCGGCTGGCGAGGCGTCTTCGAGAATTACGGGTGACATTACCACCGTGCAACAAGGAACATCCGAAAAGGTTGGCATTGTTATCAACAGTCTTGCCTTCTTCGTCACCGCGTACGTCGTGGCTTTCATCAAGGATCCCAAGTTGGCTGGAATGTTGGTCTCCTTAACCCCCGCCTACTTGCTCATGTCTCTGTTGGGAGGATATTTCGTGCAAAAGTATTTTGGTCGCGCACTGGAGAGCATGACCAAGGCATCTTCAGTAGCACTAGAGGCATTTTCCAACACGATGGTGGTTCATGCCTTCTCAGCCAACGTGCGGCTTGAGGAGAAGTTTATCGAGTTTCTGAATCCTGGAAGGATTGCCGGAATTCGCAAGTCAATCGCCACGGCCACCCAGGCGGGTTTGCTTTACTTTATTGCTTTCTCGGCCAATGCATTGGCCTTCTGGCAAGGGTCTAGGCAGATTGCGGATTCGGTAGAGTCCAATGCTGGTGGCATGACAGTCGGAGCAACATACACCGTGATTTTTATTCTAGTGGATGGTAAGCATCTTATTCATGCTTTGATTTGAGCTCTCGCTGACTATCTCTATCTCTCAGCATCCTTGATTCTCAGTACAGTGGCACCTTTCATCCAGAGCTTCGACGCCGCTTCGGTTGCCTTCACAAAATTGAAGGCTGATATAGATCACTCATCCACGATTGATGGCACTTCCAAGGATGTTGGAGAAGTGTTGCCAGAGGTCAAGGGGCAGGTGGAGTTGCGCGATGTTTCATTCTGTTTCCCTTCTCGCCCAGATAAGCCAGTCCTTCAAAATTTGTCGCTTTCCTGTCCCGCCGGTCAACAAACTGCCATCGTCGGCTTGTCTGGAAGTGGAAAGTCTACTGTTGCCGGCTTAGCAACAAGATTTTACGATGCGACCGAAGGAACCGTTATGTTGGATGGACATGATGTAAAAGATTTGAATGTCCGTGCATTGAGGAGCCATATCAGTCTTGTCCAACAAGAGCCATGTCTTCTCGATCGATCAATCTTCGAGAACATTGCCTTGGGCCTGATCAATTCCCCTCTGCACACACATCTCCAACCGATCCTGACTGGCACCGCGCTGATTAAAATTGCTGCCGCTGTGAGGGAGGGCCAAGCCCTTTCGGCCGCCTCTCTAGGACATGGTGACCAGGCGCGAGAGGTGGTGGACTTGGTTGAGGGTGCCGCAAAGCTGGCTGATGCCAACGGGTTTATTGAGAGGCTTCAAGAAGGCTACGGTACTTCGGTTGGTTCCAGCGGGAACCTGATCAGTGGCGGACAGAAGCAGCGTATCTCTTTGGCCCGGGCCTTGGTGAAAGACCCGCGGATTCTCATCCTCGATGAGGCCACAGCGTCTTTGGACTCAGCCACAGAAATGCGCATCCAAAAAGCCTTAGAGAGTGTGGCCGTGGGCCGAACTGTTATTACCATTGCCCACCGTCTATCTACCATCAGGAATGCGGATAACATCATCGTCATGAGACAAGGAAAGCTTGTTGAACAAGGCACTCATACGGAGCTGCTGGCAGCCAATGGTGCCTATGCAGAGTTGATTCGCCTTCAGAATCTCAATGTCGACAATTCTGAAGAGGGAACATCCACCCGATCGGCGTCGCCTGTGAATCAGATCACAGAAAAGGTTGAACCCACTCTTTCCGTGACCGATGATGTCCACGAGAAAGATGAAACGGCCGATGCTTCTGCTGCCCAAGACTCCAAGCCGAAAGAGGCCGGCGGTGTTGTCGACACAAATAGGCCATTTTCCTCAACAGTCAGTTCCCTGGGCTCTATGTTCCGGCCATATGCATTTGTTCTGGTCCTCGCTGTGACCGGCGCCGTTGTCATTGGCGGCACATACTGCGCTTCAGCAGTGATCTTTGGTAACGTCGTGGGTAAGCTGAGCGGTTGCGAGGAACCTCAGAATATCCGCGATGCTGGAGAATTCTACGGCCTCATGTTCTTCGTCCTCGCCATCATTGAATTCTTTGCAAACTTTTTCAGCTGGTCTCTCTTTGGTTGGATGGCAGAGAATGTGATTTACAAAGTCCGAGTTCTTTCGCTACGAGCCATACTCGAGCAGGATCTCCAATGGCACGAATCCAATGACCGCAACCCATCATTGCTACTTTCCTTGATCACCAAGGACAGCAATGCTCTTGCAGGCCTGACAGGCTCCGTTGTGTGCACAATTTTGTCTATCCTCATCAACCTATTCGCTGCCATCATCATGTCGCACATTATCGCGTGGCGCATCGCCCTTGTCTGCCTTGCCGTGGTACCTTTGCTATTGGCTGCTGGCTGGATGCGAGTTACCTCACTGGCACAGTTTGAAGAGCGCCACCTAGAGGCTTTTGCTCGGTCAGTAGGAATTACAGTGGAGGCCGTCAACTCGATCAAGACCGTCATGTCTCTTTCTATGGAGGACGAGATTATGGGAACATACCGTCGCTCATTAGCGGCACCCATGAAGGAAATAACCCGCCAGAGTGCCTGGGCCAACATCTGGCTTGCCATCGGGTACGGTCTCAGCAACTTCTTATATGGCCTGGCATATTGGTGGGGAGCGAAAAACATCATTGCAGGATATTATACTCAGACACAGTTCTTCATCGTCCAGCTAGCGCTGCTCGTCAGCTCACAGCTGTGGGGACAGATGTTTGCCCTGGCCCCTGATGTCTCGCGTGCCTTCCAGGCCACCCGTCGGTTGTTAAATCTGCTAGACCTGGGATCCACGAAGAAACTGTCAGCCCCTATCGAAACTCTGCAGTCTAAGAGCGACGTCGAATCCACGGCAAACACGCGCGAGAAGGTCGACGACGCTCGCAATGGCATCAGTGTCTCCCTCAAGCAAGTCCATTTTGCCTATCCCGCACGACCAGACACCCGCGTGCTTCATGGTTTGAATATGGAGGTCAAGCCGGGTCAGTTTGCCGCTTTAGTCGGGCCCAGTGGTGCTGGAAAATCGACCATCATTTCACTCGTCGAGCGCCTCTACTCCCCCGAATCCGGCACCATCCATGTCGACGGCCGAGACATTGCCTATGGTGACATCTCATTCCGTGACAACATTGCATATGTACCACAGCAGAGTGTTATGTTTGAAGGAACTATCCGCTTTAATCTTGCTCTTGGCGCACGACCTGGCCACGAAGTTACGCAAGAGGAGTTGGAACAAGCATGTCAATTAGCCAACATCCACGACGTCATTGCGCAGCTTCCCGACGGATACGATACACACTGCGGGCCAAATGGTGATCGTCTCTCCGGAGGTCAGAAGCAGCGACTGGCTATCGCGCGGGCGCTGATCCGAAAGCCGAAGCTGTTGCTCCTAGACGAGTCGACAAGTGCTTTGGATGCAGAGTCTGAGCGACTGCTTCAGGATGGATTGGAGAAGGCAGCCAAAAGAATGACTGTGATAGCGATTGCCCATCGTTTGTACACGATCCGCAAGGCGGATGCTATTTTCTTGATTGAGGATGGGCGTTGTGTTGAGCAAGGCACTCACGCCCAGCTGATCGAGCGGAGTGAGACTTACAGGGTCAATGCCCTGAACCAGACAGTGGATGGATAACTGTCCTTGAATAGAAAAAAGTACATAGCTGTTTGTTTCTTCTGTTTTGTTGATATAGATCTATATTGTTTAATCTCATTCTTCTATGATAGACAATTTCGTACTATATACATATCATTTCATAATTTTACTACCAACGTGAACATCTACTCGGTTGCTTCTCCCAAACGCAACCACTTCCAACAAACTGCTCTTGTTAGCTCAATGAATCTGGCTGGAAACTCGTCAACTTACTTTCGTATCCTAGATCATCATTGAAGAACATATTCCGGATCTCGTCGCCCGAGGACAGTCCCATGGCCGGGAAGTACCCAACAGCGGTTTTTCCAAGAGCCAAAGCCATCATAGGAGCTACTTCAACCAACTCGACAAACTTGGGTTCCATATTGTACCGCTCCGCCAACATCTGCTGGTGGATGTTGAAAACTGCGAAATGTGCCTGGTGCATCGCTGCTCCACCACGCTTAATACCAGACCAGGCGACAATGTCACCGGCAGCGTAGTGATATTTCTTGTTTGGCACATCTGCGGAAAATTGAAGACCGGGCGTGATACGGACATATCCCTCGGGATCGCAGGCATCCTTAGGAAGATATGAGGATGTTGGTGCAAAACGTGACACGGCATTGATTACATGGCCGGCAACGAGCTCCCGACCATCTGAGAGCTTGAGCGTGTACTTCGCCGGAGTGGAGTCGCTACCGCGAACTGTGTCCTGGACGCGTGCCCCCAACACCACTTCGACCCCAGACTCTTTCAGCATTTCAAGGGTCTTGTCTTTGAAGTCATCGGGGAGGTCCTCGGAGGAGAGCAGCTGTTGCCGAGAGTGAACGAGGGTCACCTTTGTCTGAGGTCGGACCATCTTGATCTCGGCGGCGATCTCGATACCAACAGCACCTGCGACAAACCAATTAGTATAACTCAAGTGCAAGAATATAGTGTCACATACCGCCTCCAATAACAACCACACCTTCCGAAGCTTCCTCAATAGTCTGCACAGAGTCTGCTGTTTCGGCAAGATATGCCTCCCGAGTCAAAGACTTGGGCGCACTAGGCCACTCTCTTCGCAAGCCCGAGCACGCAACCATATAGTCGTATTTTTCTTCGATAATTCTGTGCCCATCATTCCCAGTATTTTGACGGATCCGCGCAATTCGGGACTTGCAGTCTATTGAGTCTACTCGTCCTTGAATGTGATTGATATCCGGGGACTGGAGAGCGGGAATATCGTCGAACTTTTTCCAGAACGTGCTCGCATCGGCGTTGGAAGCTATGGCCAAAGGCAGTCCGATCAGGTGGTCTAAAATAATTAGCGTCAGTCACATTCTTTCAAATCTTATATGACGAGATCACATACAATAGCCATCGCGCTCATCCACGATGGTAACTTGCACAGGAATCGTGTTCCCCGGGCCCTGTTCGTTCTCATCCAGGTTGAATCGACATTTCCGCCCATGGCACAAGTCAATGAGGTTCAGAGTTGCGGCCAACCCGGAATAAGACCCTCCGACGATGAGAACCTTGAAGGGCGGCTGTTCTTGGAGACCAGGCATAGCGGCGATCAGTAGTGGGCTTTTGGTTATATTCGGGGAGTTGTTGGGATGGGGAAAAGAAAAAGAATTCAAACTACGTAGGAGCCGGCAAATCCACCCGAGCAACTGATCGGGTCAACATGACTAGGTCAAATGTCTCAACACCCGGCCCCGGAGGAAATACGGTCGCAATTACGCAGGTATGTAAGTTTAACTTACCGGAATGCAACCTTGTCTTATCAGATCCGACTTCGGGAGTCTTGGCGCCAATAAATTATAATTTGTTTGAATACAGAGGCACTTAATACCATACACTGCTGCTTTCTTCAACCCCTTCTGAGCTATTCCTCAATAGCGATTATACTTTTTTTTTATATTCAATATGGGCTTTGTTGTCGTCCCCGCCACCCTGCCCGATGTCCGGGCCATCTATGATGTCTGGTTTGCGGCTTTCAAAGGCCAATTGATCCTGGACCTCATCTACCCAGGAACCGATTTCAACGATGAGGCATTCCGTAAAGTCCACACCGAAGGAACTCTTGAATATTGGAAAGGATTGAGCATGGAGCACACTTTCCAATGCATTGACACCGACACCGGTAAAATCGCCGGCATGGCAACATGGCAAGTCTACTGGCGGGAAAGGACCACCGAAGAGCGTCAGAAACCGTGGATTGGATGGTTGGAGGGTGACCAGCGAAAGCGTGCCGAAGGGTTTTTGGAACAGCTTTGGGAAAAGAGGGAGAAGTTCATTGGGCCTAAGAAGCATGTTTGTGAGTAGCAACCGATCCTTGTATTGGTGATGACCGTATGTTGACCCAGCGATAGACTGTCACACAGTTGCAGTGCATCCAGACTATCAGGGTAAAGGTGTCGGAGCAAATCTTATGCAATGGGGAATGAATGTGGCAGAGCAGCTGAATTTGCCGGTTTACCTTGAGTCAACTGTGGAAGGAGTTCCCTTGTATAAGAAACTTGGCTTCCAGACTCTCTCGGAAGGAATCGTGTTCAAGCCCGAGATTACCAGGGTCAACAAAGAAGTTCGAGCACCACTCATGGCAAAAATGCCCACATCTGCAGGAAACATGACATTCGAGGAATGGGCGGAGGACAAGACTTCATCTGTATAAACTACTGTAGATATCTACATCCCTTTTCTAGACGTTCAATGCAAGGCACGATCGGCCACATGCCGTATGCCATCGAATTCTAATTTTTCGATGCCAAGAGAACCTCTCATGTTCTTAGAACGCTGAACTGCATTTACAACATACGTTCCTAACTCACAGCGTGTAAAATGTAACCCGAAACGTAGACTCGCCGACGAGAACTCCGACAAGTTCCGGTGAGCCATCAGACAATGGGACTGGTTATCCCTTTTCAGCTGTCTGGGAAAGGAGTCCACCTGGGCAGAAATTACTCGGAGGCCCGAGTGGAGACATAGAGTTTGAGCCAAGACTTGGCGTCTTCTCGGTGAATTATTGAACATGTGAAAACCTTTTCCAAGGTTATCAATCAATCTGATTAAAATCCTTTTTATCAATCTGATTAAAATCCTTTTTATCAATCTGATTAAAACCATGGAACCTTTTATCAATCTAATTATTCATACCGAGCCAAGGACCTTGAAATGACAACGGGGATGCACAAAAGGCGACAGGGGACCCGACTTACTCTTTAGTGCCACCGCCATCCCGGTGACTCCATCGGTAGAAAATTCATCCCACTAACCGAGGGGCAGTTTTTGTGTGATCGATGTGGGTTGAGGTACGGAGTATATGAGAACCAACTCGGAAAGTGCTGATCCGTCCCTGGTGGCGTCCACTAGTAACTTTTACTAATACTAGGAAATACTGGTAATACCAACACGTCCTAGTATCGTATGGAAATACAGGTGTGGAGCCGCCGATCTTATCTGATCAAGGATTTTATCAGATCGCCCACAAACCCTACATTCCATGGATCTGAATACTATTTGAATTCTTACTCCGGGCGATCCCACTACTGTCTGATCAGATATTAAATCCCTCACATCAGAGAGCGAATTGGATGGCCGACATCGGCTAGGCCTGGCAGATTTCCGAATAATTGTGTTCGTATATTTGAGTTTAACACATCCAGGGAACAAAAGAACAAGTAGTCCACTCTTGCAGGGAAGTTTATCCTTCCATGCGTCTTTCTTCCGCCTTTACCGCCCTTTGCGGGCTCCAGGCTACCCTTGTCGTGGCCGAGAAAACCACCTGGCCCTGGCAGAACTTCAAGTCCAGCCCTCACGAACCTCCGAATCTCGAAATCTCGAAATCCGGCCTTGCCAGCCCCGGATACCTCTTCTTCGATCAATCATGGGATGCTCATCAGTACAGCGTGTTTATTATGTCGGACAAGAACGAGCTTGTCTGGCAGAGCCCGCGGGGTGACCTGAAGGGTTTCCGAGTACAGAAGCTGGATGGGAAGCCTGTCCTGACGTACTTCAACGGCCTTGGAGTCCCGGAGCCTTTTGGTTGGGGATACGGTATTATTCAAATTTTGGATGAGTCGTATCAAAATATCTATAATGTTTCCGTGACAAACGACAACTACAAGGCCTTGGGCAGCATTGACAGCTCCTCCTTTGTATCTTGGATTGACATGCACGAGAACACAATGACACCTGATGGAACAATGCTAGTCACAGGCTACAATGTCACCCAGACTGACCTCAGCTCTGTGGGAGGCCCAAAGAATGGCTGGATCGCTGACTCGCTCTTCTATGAGATTGACGTCAAGACCAACGAAATACTTTTCCGCTGGAGCGCCCGGGACCATATTGACCAGATTCCCTTGGAACATGTACAGCCTTTCTACCCAATTAAAGACTGGGGACACAACAGCAGCTATCCGTATGGCTACTTCCACATCAACTCAGTGGACAAGTTCCAAGATGGAACGTACCTCATTTCTTCTCGTTACTACTGTTCGCTCTTTAAGGTTGCAAAGGATGGATCAGTTGACTGGACGGTACAGGTAAATCCAAGCTTCTTCAAAAGTGTCACAAGTATGCCACATATACTAATAGTTGTACAATAGGGTCAAACCGGCGGCGACTTCGATCTCAACGGAGTTGAATTCAGCTACCAGCACGACGCCCGCATCCACGACGAGACCGAGGATGGATTCATGCTCAGCATCTTTGACAACGCCAATTCTGATGTCCAGAACGGAACTCATCACACTGAAGGCATACTGATGAACGTCAATCTAGCCACTCGCGAGGTCTCCCTTGTCCAGACTCTCCACGATCAACGCGATGAGATATTCTCGACCTCTCAGGGAAACACACAATTGCTGCCTGGAAACCACTCTATAATGGGCTACGGATCAAATCCTAAGATTAAGGAGTACAATGCCAATGGGACTTGTGTCATGACCGCACAGTTTGGACTCGATGCTGTCGTCGCAAGTTACCGTGCCTATCGCTCCCCCTGGGTCGGCGTCCCTAAAACTCTCCCCGATGTGTTTTCGTGCATTGAGCAGGGTCGTAACAAGACCAATGTCTATATGAGTTGGAACGGAGCCACTGAGCATAAACTGTGGAAGGTCTTTGGGGGCGCTAATGCCTCAGACCTGAGTCCAGTCGCAGCGACACGGAAGACAGGGTTTGAGACCGTGGCGAGCATCAAAGGAAAACTTGTATATGTTCAAGTGGAAGCTCACGGCCTAGGGATCAAGAAGGGGGTTTCCAAAATTGTACCCGTAAAGGGTCGGTGTTAGGTATCATATAGGATTGCATTATCTCGTAACTCTGGTTAGAATAGACAAAGAGAGAACTCGACTATGCTAATCTTAATAGAATACTACATCTGATTTTCTATAAGACAACCATGTTTTGTACAACCTACATAGTCCAGGCTTCGGTTGAAATGCCTACTCGACTATACATAAGTCCTAGTCATTGAACTATTGTTTTGAGCCAGAATGCAAAAGGAAAAAAGAAAAGGATTATATACTCTCTGGTCATATATAGTAGGCATTAATCGTATGACAGACAACTAATTAGAGAAACATTATTACATACTGACTCCCACTATCTTCAATCTGATCCCCACGAACTTCATCTGCCGGCTTCACACATTTCCATCAACAGCACATCAACTTAGATCACGCGTCCCTTGACCTGCTTCAGGTCCTTTACCTTGATATCTCTCCACATACCAGCACATCCCCAGGCCACTACCAGCATACAAACACTGGTGATCAGCATATAACGCTGCGCATCTCCATAGGCATGAGCAATGGCATTCCGAGCCGGGCTTCCCCAATCATACGACAGTTGGACGCTGATATCCGAATAAACCGTTGCCACATTCACCTCCGGGGGCACGTATTTGGCCAGCGCCTTCGGGAACTCGCTGGTCCAGATAGCAGCAGACACAGTAGACCCAATTGCACTGCCAATACTACCGAACAGATTCAGCATGGCAAGTATAACAGCGATATGCTGGTGATCCGAAGGCGCCATCATAGCAAGCTCGCCGCAGATAACGGTGGTTCCACCAGCGAAGGCAACGAAGATTTGAGTCATGCAAATATACCCAATACCCGCGTCGGGTTGACGGAATTTTATCATCAGCCCAACGCCCAGGATCATAAGCGGGAAGGAGAAGTAAACGGCCAGCCATTTGAAGCGACCAGTCCAACGGATCAGGAAACCGACGAGGAGACAAAAGAGGCAGGATCCCACTCTGTAGATGGCTGAGACATAGCTGGCTTCGGTCACATCCAGGCCCCAGACGACCTGGAGCATGGATCCAAAGTAACTACCCCAGACCATTGAGTTGAAAAACTCGAAGACGAACATTAACCCACCAAAGAAGACGGTTCGATCCATCAATAGATTGAATGGGATAAACGTTACTGGGGCCCAGAATCTCTCGTAGATAGCGAATACGATGAGCAAAAGGCCTCCAAAAATGATCATGCAAATGATCATTGCGGAGCGCCATTGATCCTTTTGGTATGACCAGAGACTGAATGGAAGAAGAAACAAGGCCATTCCGCCCGCCAGAAGAATGATTCCAATCAAGTCGACCTCAATGCAGTATTGCTTGATTGTAGACAAGGTAAGGGCACCACGGCTGGGTGCGAGCAAGCCCATCTTCTTGGCCTTCTGCTGATTCCAGAAGAACAAAAGACACAGAGGAGCCACCACAACCGGAACAATGATGGTGAAGATTCCGAATCCCCATCGCCAGCCAGGGCCTTCGAGGACGCTCTGGGAGATTGGTCCTCCGATCCAGGTGGTGATTATATATGGTGAGGTTGCGAATGACAGCATAAGAGCTCGGTTCTTCAATGCAGAAGTGTCTGAAATGAATACTGTCAAACAATAGCTGACTCCTTGGGATCTAGAATTCGTCGCAAGTTAGTCAAGCTGTTGGTAATATATTTGGAAAGACTATGGATATCATACCCCACGGATGAGAAAACCTGAGCGGCCGCGTATGTCTGAACATTGTTGCAGGCCGCCATCATGATGAAACCCACAACCCAAATGAGCAACATCAAAGACATACCCTGAGGCCGGCCCCACGAGTCCAATATCTTTGCCAAGGGAATTTTACTCAAGCCTCCAATGATACTAGCCATGATACTCGTGGCAGCCGTCAAAGAGTGGAGCCTGAAGGCACTGGTCACGTAGGGGTTCAGAGAACGGATGACGACCTCCTGGATGGAGGTAACAAAGTAGATAAACCAAATACTTCATAGAAGAGTCAGTGGTTTGAATGCATATAAAGGATCGTGAAGAGATTCTCACATCACATATGCCAGGATCATATGAGACTTAGTCCACACGGCGGCGGCGGCCTGGACTCCCTTCACACCAGCCTGAGCCTCTTTATCGAGAGACTCTTGATCCGAGTTGCCATCAGGTGTATACGCCGGTGGTTGAGCTGTCTCTGGCTCTTTCTCAGTGGGATAGGGAACGTCAGGACCCATCGCGTGAGCGATCTGCGTTTCCTTCGATGCCATAACGAGAGACTATATTTCGAAGCTTGGCTCAAAAGCGCCGATCAGTGGGCTTTATATACCCTAATATATCAGGGATCGATTATCCGATATCGGTAACAAGGAAGATTCTGCGCCAATAAGTGTATTATTGTCTCAAGGAAAGTGTGGGTAAGTGCCCGTAACTAATAATTTCCATTGCCAGCGAGATTAGTCGGGGCCTCCTTGGCGCGCATAACCGTTGATAAGATGGATCCATCAGCCTTGCTAGTGATCTTCCCGGTCCAATAAATTCTGAATTCTGTGGAGCTCGAGTGTTCTTCTCATGCCACTTCGGTTCGTTTGGATCACCCCATTCTAGGCTTCCTTTTCCTGGACTTTTTCTCATTCAGAAGACACTTTTGGCCATCCAAGACGGTGGCGCTTTTCTTCCACGGTAGTGGTATTTTTGCCATACGCCGGATTCGTTTTTACGGTAGAATGACTAGCTTCAAAATTACATACGTGTATTTGAGCTTTATAGGTTTTCCGCGGCATTTTTGTTTTCTCTCCATTGTCAGTGCCAAAGTCTCTATTAAATGATTCCGCGTTTTGCGCTTCATGAGTACATACAGATATATGTTGTACGGAGCAAGATATATAAGGCCCAAGCGCTTTTCGCTGTGGGGTGACGGTTTCCTATTTTAGCTGGTCACTTTTACAACCCTACAGCCTTAAGGAATAGTGTACTAAGCTAACAGGTTTTTTTTGGACTTGTTGGTTCACACCCCACAATTGTCTCACTTCATTCAAGTCATGATGTACATATCGTCACTCTACGTTCCTTTTCCACAAAGCCCGAGTTCATGTCCGATGATGAGCTCTACCTCAATTCATACTTCCCATATACTCCAAACACTAGACGTCTCTATGCCTCCAGCGCATTCTGTTTTTACAAAAGCTAAGTCGGCTGGAGGGTCTAAGTTCTGTATCTATTATCCGCACAGATAAAATTCGTCTCAAATCCATTTGCTTGGTGTCCCAATACTACATTCCGAGGACTTTTCTAAGAGCTACCCAACAACGCAGCGTATATCCTCACAATCGAACCTTTGAACTATTCCCTAGCATCAGAAACGTGGTCAGACGATACGTCATACAATCCGCCTCAACACCTTCCGATAGCCCGAAAAAGCCTTAAACCAAGGTCAGATTAGATCCTCCATTCGATACCGCGTCTGTGTCAGATGATACGTGACATAACCAAAAACGAAAGCCTCAACAAGCCTCTGCAACCCGGAGTGAGCTTTCCCAAGGGTGCGTAACCTCCGAATCACGTCGCTTGTATTCATCACAGAGCTCTTCAGAGACTCGACCTGAGTCAGCCCTTTACACCTGGCCGAGTTCGTGATGAAATTAAGGTTTTCCATGTTAACCATTTCTTTGTAAGATGACATAAGATCATTTATCCAGTTGAAAACCCATGTCAAATATAGTATCATCGGTAGACAGTATCGGAGACATTCCGCTTATGAGAATTGTGCGGTTGGGAACAACATAAATGAGTAAGCTTCGGCCACGCCAAGTTTCAGGCGAAAGTAGCTAGGGAACAGATGTGCTTCTGCGGGGAATTTAACGTTCTCGCTCTCTGATTCTGCGTAGCACGCACTGATGAATTGCAGAGCGTCCTTGATGATCATATCGCCGGAAAATTGACCGAAGATAGAATGAAAGGAACTCAAAAACTCGCCCATGCTCTCAAGAACTGGGGTTCCTTGGGGCTGTCGGCTTAGTAGGCAGATATTGAATCGCTTTAGGTGATGCTTGAACTCGAGGTCATGGGCAAAATCATCAATGATGAGACAATAGGTAGTGAATATTGCCACTGCGCATTGTATATTGAAGGGGGCTGTTTGGAAAGTCGCGGTTGCGATTCCCACGCTGGGCGTGACCTGTGGCTCGATATTCATAACGAATTCATCCGAGAGTCCGTCATTCCTGAAGTGTAGCTTCACTTCATCTTCAACTGCAGGATATAGTTTCAAACAAGGAAGCCTATAGCCAATATCCAAGAGGAATGCTTGGATGGTTTCAGAAAGCTCTGCTTTAATCTCAGGACTAGGGACAGCCATTTTAAAAGATGAAAGAAGTATGAAAAGAAAATGCGAAAGGAAATAGAAAGACAAGGGGTATATGACCTAGGAAGGTGATGAACTTGTGTAACGCATAGCAACCTTGCCTATATATGTAGGTAGATTCTAACTGGGAGAAACTGGGATAAGATATATGTCAGGAAGTACATACCAGGAGGTGATCGGAAAGGTCGCCATCAATCTCAAGTCGCACGAACCCAGAATACGCGATATCCCAGAGGACCCGTGGACGACATCCGCCCCCCCTTCTAGGAAGCTTGGACGTGAGTGAGTTGTTTTCCACACATGTACATAAACTATGTAACAATCATTTCCAGCGACTACACAACAGGGCCTGACCTCTTAGTAGGGTCCTAAGAATCAGGCACTTATTTCCAAGACCCAAATGATTGTCAAACTATTATAGCTTAGAACCTAGCTTCTACAACTACTCAATATCATCTCACATTCAACCATGCACCTCGACGTCTCTGTAGGCCTCTCTAGGTTATGGGCCCGGAAGCTATATTCAACCTTCCTCTTTTTCATCCTCCAATCGCCTCTCTCGACGATACACCAGCCGACCAGGCCACCCACGTGTAGAGTTTTCACACTCGCCAGGCGCTATCAGCAAAGAAAGTGCACCCCTCTCTCTCGATGGTCACTATCTCTCAGCATCTCTCCTTCGATGCACACTATCTCAGTGCCTATTCATCAACGCACTCATTAACAATAAGCTACCTACGGGGTCAACCTTCTTCCCTGAATTCAACGCGGGCATCTCCACAATCCACACTCCGCTTTCATACTCTGTCAACATGTGTTCCAACAGCAGCAGCTTCGCAGTGCCCAAGCTCTCAGAGCTCGTCCCCATTCTTACTGGCCAAACCAACTTTGCCTCGTGGTCCACCGCACCCAAGTGCGTTCTCGACGCCCGGGATCCTCATCTTTCTGAGATCCTCACCGGCACTCAGGCTCAGGCAGCTGCCAAGAATCCTCGTAGTGGACTCGAACATCTTGCCACCTTCTCTTGTACCTTCGCGCCATAGTTCACCTAACTCTCAAACCCTACATTAACAACGCTACTAACGCCTACTTCGCGTATCAAAGCCTTCACATAGATCCTTCGCGGTACACACGTACAACACCGGCTTCGAGCTCGGGAGAAGTTTCACAAGTGGATCACCAAGGCACCAAACCCATCTCACGTGCCTAGGGCCCAGTTTTAATTTTCAGCCAATCAGAGGCCAGGTGATCCAAATTTGAGATTTGAGATTTCCCAAAGCGGCTCTGCCACTTTTAATCTGCTTCTAGCCAACTCAAAACTCAATCAGATACTCAATGGCCGGCGACATTGAAGAGAGTCGAGAGAAACACAGCAATGGCGAGTCACAGCAGTTGCCGGATTTGCAGCGAAGGCTCAAAAGCCGACATCTACAGATGATCGCAATGGGTAAGGAACTGCGAGCCATACACATTTTGTTCTTATCCGTATTCTTATCCTTATCTTTTTTGCAGGAGGTGCCATAGGGACAGGTCTGTTTATCGGTAGTGGAAGTGCCATTGCTACCGCGGGCCCTGTCGGCGCCCTGATTGCATTCACCTTTATTGGATCAATCGTGTATTCAGTCATGATAGCCTTGGGTGAGGTGGCCACCTACCTACCAATCGCAGGAGCGTTTGCCACATATGCAACGCGCCTGGTAGATCCCAGCCTAGGCTTTGCAATGGGTTGGATCTACTGGTTTTCATGGGCCTCGACATTTGCCCTTGAGTTGACTGCCACTGGCCTGATCATTCAATATTGGGATGGCACGATCCCAATGGCAATATTCATTGCTGTTTTTTGGGTTGTTATCATAATCTTGAACATGTTTCCTGTGAGCTGCTATGGTGAAGTCGAATTCTGGCTTTCGAGTATCAAAATCATCACCGTGGTCGGGTTTATGATATTCGCCATTTGCGTCAATGCTGGCGTTGGCAGGGAGGGCTATCTGGGTTTCAGATACTGGGTGCATCCAGGCCCATTCCGCGCTTATCTGATCGAAGATTCTGGTCAAGACGCTCTGGCCAAATTCGTCGGATTCTGGGCCATTTTGATCAAAGCCGGGTTCTCATACCAAGGTACCGAGCTGGTCGGTATTGCAGCGGGTGAAACGGAAGACCCTCGCAAAAACATCCCCTCTGCAATTCGAAAGACCTTCTTTCGGATCGTGTTTTTCTTTGTTTTTACGATTTTCTTCGTCGGCATCGTCGTGCCATCCGACGATAAACGCCTTACCTCCGATGACAGCGGTACAAATGCGGATGCATCCCCCTTCGTCATTGCTGCGAAACGTGCTGGTGTCAACGTCTTGCCCAGTATCATCAACGCAGTCCTGCTTACTGTGGTCCTTTCCGCTGCCAATTCAAACGTCTACAGCGGCAGTCGGATCCTAGTCGGTTTGGCTCATGAGGGTTTCGCTCCTCGGCTTTTCTTGAAGACAACCAAACACGGCGTGCCCTATGCAAGTGTTGGGTTTACGGCTCTTTTTGGCCTGTTGGGCTTCCTTAATGTCTCAAATGCTGGAGCCACGGTCTTTAACTGGTTGATGCAGATTGCTGGCTTGGCAGGTTTTATTACCTGGGCATCTCTGAATATTTGCCATCTATCATTTATGAAAGCCTTAGCTGCGCAAGGCATTTCACGTGACACTCTTCCATATAAGGCTCCTTGGCAGCCCTTTTTCTCGTGGTACGGCTTGTTCTTCAACTTGCTTATCATCATCACCCAGGGCTTCACTGCTTTCATTCCGAAGTTCAGTGTTACCGACTTCTTCATCAACTACCTCAGTCTCATATTGTTTGCGGTGCTATACATTGGTCATAAGGTTGTGTTCCGGCCGGGATTTGTGAAGCCTGAAAAGGCGGACATTGACACAGGTCGATTTGAGGAATGAAGTGGGAAATGTATATTAATATGTATATTGATTTAGATTGAAAGAAAAAATTAGACTCCAGGGCTGGAATAGATGCTTATGTCATGCCCTTGTTACATATGTAGTTATTTTGAGCGTCCAATATTCTAAGCAAGACCCAATACCCAACCTAGGTACTAGACCATGGAAGATAGAATGTAATGATGAATATGATAATAGTTGTCAATAATTAAGATTATTACTTATTCTGAAAAGCTCACAAAACTGATAATCTGTCATGGATAACCTAGTGGAAGGCTCACCGCCATGCCGATTACCCTGCTTCGGTCGCAAGGCCAGCAGGAAAGGTGCCTGGTACGAATCCCGGGGTTGGCATTTTCACTCGTGCGAGTAATCCACGACGCTGGAGGCCACTAAGCAATGGAAATGACCCTTGAGGGAAGCAATTCTGCAGAGACATTTCCACCCCGGGATGGCGTCGCCAGATGACACCTTCCTGTTACAGGGAAGTTGGCAATTTGGTGTGACAACTACTATTTTCTTTTTTTTCCATGCCTCCCTTCAAGCAGTGATAATTCACAGTCTATCATTCTATAAAATCCATATGCCATGTCTCTTACAGTCTCCAGTCTCATTTTGAGATATAAATTCACATAAGTTGACCCTTAATGATAGATAGCATGACCCTAATGATAGCATGATAAAAAAATGTACAAAGGCATGAAAAATAAAACAAAAAAGATAACGCGCAAATGAGTCCATAATCAAGGTGTCCCCATATGAGTCTCATGCGAAGTATTCTGCATCTGCTCCAAGACCACAGCATAGAATTTCCCTTCTTCTGAGATATCACGGTAAGGACCAGCAGAGACAACGGCCCTAGAACGATTCAAATTAGCACATGTCACATTTGAAAGATATCAAACATCAAAAGCAGACCCCAAATGACGAAAAAAGAAGAATCAAAATCAAAATCAAAATCAAAACATACCACCCCTTATACTTCGGCTGGTTAAAGATATCCGTAAATACCATCAGCACCCGCAACGGCAACTCCAGAATAGAAGGCAACTCAGGCCCATCGCCACAAATGGGTAACCCCAGCTTGTTGACAGGTTGGTAGACAATCTCTGCGACGTTCTGCGGGTCGCGCGTCTCCCGGAAGATGAGGAGACGGCGCGAGGCGGGCGACGCCGGTGCGCCTGCTGGTCTGGTGTTTGCGCTCACGCTCATGCTCATCGTGGAGGTTTTTTGAGTGTGCAGAGTGCGCAATAGGTTTTTGCGAAGGTCCGTGTTGGGCTTTTTTTCTCCTTGGGCTTGGTATCTGGGGGGATGGATTGTTCAGTTTGGCTGTTCTTTTTTTTTTGTCGTTTTTCTTTCCCACTTGGACTTTTATGCTGTTTCTCTAGCGCTGTGCTTGGAGACAGAGTCTTTTCTTCTGGGGTCTATTAGTAGGTCTCTTTGTGTATAGTCCATCAAGCGCTTACTATTTGTTGACAGTGGCGTGTATGGAGGGCGACAGGCTCTGCTTATCGGTGGGCGATCAGTGTCCCGATTAGGAGATAGCGGGGCAAAAAGGGGTGACTTTGGAGATGGATGTATGTTGTATACTGTAGGATGGAGAGAGATGAAAGAAGAGAGAAAAGAGATGAGAGATGAGGATTCAGTCTGTTTGACTGTTGGTTTACCTGT